AAAAAAAAAAAAACAAAACACACATATATATAAAATCTATATATGTCACATGCATTCTCATCCATATATTTACATACACAAGTGCATTGCTAGAATTTACTTTTTATTTTTTTTTAAGATTTATTTATTATTATTATTTATTTATTATGTATACAGTATTCTGCCTGCATGTAGGCAGGCCGGAAGAGGGCGCCAGATCTCATTACAGATGGTTGTGAGCCACCATGTGGTTGCTGGGAATTGAACTCAGGACCTTTGGATGAACAAGCAGTGCTCTTAACCTCTGAGCCATCTCTCCAGCCCTGGAATTTACTTTTAAAAAATAGCTTTGAGTTACTTGAACACCGAAAGGATAGTGGAGACTTTCCATATATCTGCATCCCTTTCCCTCTTGTTATCCTGCACTGATCGGGTACATTTGCCACCCTTAGTGTATATTCCTCATACTAAGAAAAACAAGCTTAGCCTGGCGATGGTGGCGCACGCCTTTAATCCCAGCACTTGGGAGGCAGAGACAGGCGGAGTTCAAGGCCAGACTGGTCTACCAAGTGAGTTGTTCCAGGACAGGCTCCAAAGCTACAGAGAAACCCTGTCTTGAAAAACCAAAAAACCAAAACCAAAACCAAAACCAAAAAACTACAAACCCCACAAAACAACAAAAAACAAAAAACCCCAAGCTTATGTAGTGGGTAGCTATTCCAGCCTTGATCTTGGAACACTGCCCCTAGTGTGGCAGCAAGTAACTGCCACACCTGCCTATGACCTGCCCCTGGGGCATGGCCGAGAGGAGACCCCCTAAGACCCGGGGTGCTTGTCTCTCCCTCTCCCCCTTCCCCTCTCCCTCCCCCTCTCTCGATGTGGTCCTGGAAGCTGTACTGTAACCTCATCTCTCCCAGATCCTGTAACCGACCCCTTATTGGCTGTAAGTTACCCCAGAAATAAACCCCTCTTGATTTCCAGATAAACTATGTGGAATTGCCCCGTTAATAACAGTGACAAGCTTAACATTTTTCTTTTTAAAAGTTATCAGTTATGTCTTGATAGGTGTACACAGGAATGCAGTGCCCTTGGAGGCCAGAAGAGGGCGTCGGACCCCTGGAGCAGGAGTTACAAGGGGTTGTGAACCCCCCAAAGTGGGGGTGCTGCAAGAGCAGTACACACTCTTAACTGGGGGGCCGGATCGGCAGCCCCGCCCTATTCACAGTTTTGTCAGTAGTTACTGAGCGCAAATCTGTCTTTTGGTGCATTAGGCTCCTTCCCACTACATGGCTTAACTTTTGTAGGCCAGGCGGAGTACGTGTACATAAAAAACACGGGGCTCTGAAGGTGGGCAGGGAAGAGGTGACTCGTGCTTGTAACCCCTGTTTGGTTTCCTCCGGCTTGTGCCCCCCACCCCACCCCACCCCCCAGGCTCCAGGATCTATGATACGATATTGCATGTAGTCTACTGACTCTCCCTCCCGCGGGATCGCCGAGGCCTTGCCTCCCTTGTTCCAGATGAACCACTTTCGTCTTTGGCTTCCTTTTTAAATGGAGATGATAAACCCCCGTCTTGATTCTCACCTGTTTCGGTCCAAAACCCAACCCCCACAGTGACTGATGCTTTATTTCTGGGGCGCTGGTGATTGAAAGCAGGGCCCTGAGCGTGGTCCAGCCACATCCCCAGTCAACAAAGGGAACTAAGATGTCTTTCGGTGTCTTGTTTTCTCGCGGTGGGGATCGAAGTCGGGGCCTTGCACATGCTTGCACGTGCTCCACCACTGAGGTGCATGCTCAGCTCTACCGCTACGTTTTGTTTTCCCCACGACTACATTTTTAAACGCGTTGTTGTTCATGCCTACAAAACCTGGACCGCGCACCACAGTCCTGTGCTTCGGCTGGAATCTTTTCAGAACTTTGGCTGTCAATCATTTTTACCTTAAAAAAAACTGTCACGTCAGAACCTTCCTCGTAAGGAAAGGGTTACCATTGGCTTGCGCGTAATTAATTAAAAAGACCGACGTGGAAAGGAAAGAAAAACCAAAGAGGGAGCGGAGGGAGTTTCGATCGGAAAGACGCAGTCCAGGAGGGCCTCGCCCATTCTGGTTTCCTATTGGGCAAGCTCCCCATCCATCTCCCTTGTAACTCAACCGGGGACGGAAGCGGGCGGGGCAGAGGGTGGGCTCTTCCTGTTGCCATTGCTAGGGGGTTGGCATTGTCAGGAGGCGTGCCCTCGAGGGGCGTGGCCTCGCAGCTGATTGGCTGCAGGCGCCGCTTGTCCAGGAGAGGGGAGGACGGTTGCCGGGGAGGGGCTGGCGAGGAGGCGGCGGCGTGAGGCACCCATGGCGGGAGGACTCAAAGTGGCCGCCCGGTCGGCCGTTGGCCCCGGGCCCTGGTGCTGGGGCGCCGGGGGCGGTGGGGTCGCCTGGCTGCTGTTCGTCCTCTTCGGCTGCGTGGTCTGCGGCTCAGGTACCCCCCGGGCGGCCGCTGCCGGGAGGGCGGGAGCGAGGGCGGCGTCCTGCTTGGGAAAGTGGGTTTTTATCTCCGGGGCGCGCGCGGCCCGTTACCCG